TTCAGCTGCAGTCAGTGTGGGAAGAGTTTTAGTCATTCAAGTGCCTTAAGAGCCCACCAGCATATTCACGCAGGAGAGAGACCATTCAGCTGTAGTCAGTGTGGGAAGAGTTTTAGTCAGATAAACAAATTACAAACACACGAGCGCATTCACACAGGAGAGAGACCATTCAGCTGCTGTCAGTGTGGGAAGAGTTTTAGTCAGTCAGGTAACTTAATAACCCACCAGCGCATTCACACAGGTGAGAGACCATTCAGCTGCAGTCAGTGTGGGAAGAGTTTTAGTCAGTCAAGTATCTTAAAAACCCACCAGCATATTCATGCAGGAGAGAAACCATTCAGCTGCAGTCAATGTAAGAAGAGTTTTAGTCGGTCAAGTACCTTAATAATCCACCAGCGCATTCACACAGGAGAGAAACCATTCAGCTGCAGTCAGTGTGGGAAGAGCTTTTATCAGTCAAGGACCTTAGTAACCCACCAGCGCATTCACACAGGAGAGAGACCATTCAGCTACAGTCAGTGTGAGAAGAGTTTTATCCAGTCAGGTTACTTAAAAATGCCCATTTAGTCACCAGTTTTTGATTTAATAGTCTTAGTCAAGTCAACTAAAATGTCTTTTATTTCAAGTAGGTAGATGCTTCAGCATGTGACATCCGAAGAAGGCTCCACAGCTGAAACATTTCTTTTTTTCTCTTTTCAGTATGGAATAATCCTTTACTTTTTCCCCAAAATATCTATTAGTCATAGTCACTTTGAAGTCACCCACTTTTGAGTTTGTCTAGTCAACTAAATTTGAACTATACTCTTACGGTTGACTAAAACAGAAATAGTTCATGTCACAGTTTAATTTATGTGTATAATAAAATGTATACAGATTTTTGTTTTATTCAATTTTTAAAAAATGGCCTAAATTGAATTAATTTGTTATTCTTGGAATGTTAAGTTTAGTCCTGTTTAATTTACAGCTAAGACTCATTGGATAGGCTTGACATTGTGTAACAGCTTTTAACTTACCATGTTAAGCAAGAAATGTGTATAAAACAGATTAGGATCCTTAACTGTCACTCTTAAGAAATAAAAACACACATCTGATTAAATTCTATCAAAAAGCTCAAAGTCTTTCTTGCACAATCTAAAGTTTATTTAGCCCCAGAGAGGATAAGTATCAAATACAATAAATAATTATGCAATAAAGGGTAAAAAATAAAGAATAGGATCTGGATGAATACTGGAGTGAAAGGAAAAAAAAGTCACACATTTGATTGAATTCAACAAAAAAGCTCCATGTCTTTGTTGCACAATCTAAAGTGGAGAGAGGATATATATCAAATAGAAGAAATATTTATGGAATAAAGGGTAAATTAAAAAGAATAAGATATTGTAGGAGCATCATGAAGTCCATTGTAACAAAATGGAAAAAACGTGGCACAACCCAGACAATACTAAGATCAGGCCCTCCTACCAAATTGAGCAACTGAACAAGAAGGGCAATTGTCAGAAAAGTGACCAATAGGCCAGCTACAACACTGACAGAGTTGCAAAGCTCTTTGGCTGAAATGGGATAAACTGAAGATATCAACCGTCTCTTCAGCAGTTCACAGATTCGGCTGTGACTTTGGGAGACTGGCTAGAAGGAAGCCACTTATGAGAAAGACCAACATTAAGTCATGCCTAGAGTTTGCTAGAATCCATGTGACAAAACCTGAAACTTTTTGGAAGAAAAGTTTGTGGTCTGATGAGACTAAAGTTGAGCCCTTTGACCTGAAAGCAAAGCGCCGTGTTTAGCGCAAACCAAATACAGCCCCAAACCCAGGTAACACCATCCCTACGGTGGTGGCAGCATCATGCTCTGGGGTTGCTTTTCAGCAGGAGGAACTGGAAAGCTTGTTGACATCAACGGCAATATGGATGGAGCCAAATACAGGCAAATCCTTGAGGAGAACCTGTTTCAGTCAGCCAGAGATCGGCATTTAGGGCAACAAATCATATTCCAGCACGACTATGACCCAAAGCACACAGCAAAAACTATCTAGGAATGGCTTGAAAAAAGAAGGTTAGTATTCTGGAATGGCCCAGCCAGAGCCCAGACTTGAATCCAACTGAAAATCTATGGTATGACCTGAAAACTGCTGTCCACTGATGCTCTCTTAATTTCGGAATTCGGAAAAATTTGCAAAAATTCCACAATCTAAATTTGCAAAGCTCATACAGACATACCCAAGAAGACTCACGGCTGTAATTGGTACTAAAGGACTATGTGCAAAGTATTGACTCTGGGAGTGAATACTTGTGTAAATGAGAAATGTAAGTCTTTCATTCTGGAGAAATTAATGTTCTTGAATAAAAAAATATTTTTGGTTCATAAATGTGTAGAATTTATTGTGTTAGTGAAAGTAGAAAAAATAATTTCAATTTAAAATGTAGAGGCGTAACAGGAACAAAATGCAAAAAAAATTCCAGGAGGTGAATACTTTCTGAAGGCACTGTATATATACTCACCTACTGTGACAAGACCCTGCTGACACTACCTTGACTCATGGAATTCACACCCACAAAAACAAGACAAAAGCCATTCTAAGGTCTAGCAGGATTTAACATAACCTTTCAACATAACATTGTATAAGAAGCTGCATGATCCTGCTTCTCAGCAACTAACACTTCTAACCCTGCTGGCATTCTCAAGCTAACCCTGTCAGCCTGTCGAAGGTGTAACTGACAGGTATCACATGATACTGTAGTGGCAGGGCTTATTAAAATACAGGAATTAAGTTTTCTGTTCCCTTGCCAGTCCCTCTCTCCTTCATCTCAGTGGTGCCTGATACAGTTCACAATTAAGGTGTTTTTCTAGCTGATAGTGTCCTGATAAGGAGCAGCTCCCAAAAGCTTGTACCCATCAACCACCTTAACAAATGTCATTTCGGCGCCTAAAAGTCTGAGATTCCAAGGGAAAGTGTTATTCAAAGATGGTTACAACCCTAAGGTCAGAGTGCATGGTTACTCGTCACCAGCCAATCAGGAACTGGTAGGGCAGGTTAACCCCACGTGGGTCTCTGATGCCCATGAAACTTTCAACCAATGAACGACCTGCAGTTCGTCCAGGTAAAAACAGGCAACAGAGTGCCTGTGGGATGGTTCCGAAGGGGGGAACGGTTCGCAGGGCAGAACAGTTCCCAAGGGAACACAGTTTCCAAGCGCAGGACATTCTCGCAGCGCACCTGCAGGACATTCAGCTTCAGAGCACCTCCTAAACATCCCCAGACTCAGCCCGGACCACCACGTAACGGCCAGTGTGTCCAAGTGCCAGAACTGTGTTGGGACCCACAGTCACTTCTCTCCTGTGCACAAACTCTGCTAGTTTCAGCCAGCACTAACTCTTCAGTCTTCAGTCTAACCAGTCTTCAGTGAGCACGTCACAAGCTGCACTGAGCCAGAGCGCGCCGATTGTACAGCAGCAAGCCTGCCACTGCTTCTTTGTGCCAGCAGGAGATCTGACTCCTCAGACGGATGAGTATTCAACTTCCTACATTACCGCTCGAGAATTCAATTGTTATCTCAACCTGTTGATATCAATTGAATTCCTATTTGATGTACTTGTTTTGAGTATCTAGTGTAGAAGTTGTAACTAAGTTTGTCGCACATTGTCCTGAGCAAGGCCAAAATAGGTCCGTTTTATCTCAAACTGGCTCCACGACAAAAGGACCCAAGCAAACAAGTGCAGTCTATTTACAGTGCTCCCAGGCCCCCACACCAGAAAACAACCCCCCCCCCCACCAAAAAAAGAAACCAAAACTAATTATTCAAATAAAGTTAAATCTTCCTCTTCCTCTTCCTCTTCCTCTTCCTCTCTCTCTCTCTCTCTCTCTCTCTCTCTCTCTCTCTCTCCAACAACCAACCAACCAAACTCTTAGGCTGAGGAGCCAACTTAAATATCTTGTAAGCCCCTCCCCCTCTGGAACAAATCGTTTCTCTAATTCAAAGTGGTTTTTCCCCTTTCCATAAATAACTGAGGTTACGTTTGGCCTTTTGAGGCCACCATAGGCTGACTCACCCCAGAAGTACTGACACCAAACAAACAGTGAGTACCATCCATTTTGAGAGCGCTCTCCATTCACACCACAATACTCACTCATACCTGTGTTTAAGTATTTGAATGTATGTGAAATTAGGTATGTTTATGTATGTGAATGTATATGAATAGCAGTTACTAGTCAAGCCCTGAGTGTGCACCCTCAGGAACTTATCTAGCAACCACTCAATGGAAGGTGTATGAATGTTGTATTTTTTGTGCTATCTGTACCCTGTGACAGACTCCTCTGTCACAAAGTTCATTTACAAAACGGTCTAAATTAATGATATACTGAATGTATGTCCTCTTGGTATGTGTAACTCTTCGTGACTGAATGAATATGCCTTTTGTATTCTGCTAACTCTCACAATAAGATCTGTTATGTTTATATGCACATTTTATGTATTAATAAATGTATTCTGGTGTATTAGTACGTGTGTGTGCGGTGTTTCAGTTATCCCGCAAGGTTGGATTCTAATACTATCAAAAGAATCATCTTGTAACTTACTGCCCCAATCAATAATTGTCCCAGTCAGGCACAACTCCTACATTTACTGTGTAGCGGTGAGGCTTATTAATAAGAAAGAATTAAGTGTTCTGAGCTTTCCCAAATGAGGCCTCATCTCTCCCTTCATCTCTGTGGTGCAGCCACAGAGAAGCTATTCATGCAGGCTGATTTAAAGATGTTTTCTTTTGATAAGGGACAGCTCCCAAAGGGGGATGCACTTAGCTAAGCCTGGCTATCATGATCAATGGTCATCCATTGGTGCCTATCTGTCTAGGGAGTGCCAGATGGACATCTGGACCGCATTCCTAAGTGTCAGGAGTAAGTGACTCATATCTCACCTTGATCAACCAATCAGGGACTGGTAGGGCCGAGTAACCCATGTGGGACTCTGATGCCCATGGAACTTTCAGCCAATGAACTTTCCTTTGTTCTAAGAGTCTATAGCGGAGGTTGCCAGAGAGTAACCAGAGGATCCACCCGAGGTTAGCACCAGCAGCAAGCCTCATGAACAGGTCGGAACTGTGGACAGCTGAATCACTATTCAGAACTAGCTCTTCATCAGGAACGAACCGGTCTTCTTCCTGACCTGCTGGGACCCACAGTCATCTTTTCTCCTGTGCATAAACTGTGCTAGTTAAAGCCAACACTAACTAGCCTGTCAGTGAGCATCAGCAGCGCACCGTCGCAAGCCGCACAGCACAGCCTGGCACCGAGCCAGAGAGCGCGGATTAGACAGCAACAGCCTGCAACTGTTTCTTTGACTCCGCAGGAGATCTGAATCCCCAGAGATTGGATGAGTATTCAACTTCACTGCATTACTGCTCAAGAATTCAATTGTTATCCCAACCAGTTGATATCAATTTAATTCCTAAGAGTTATGTACTTGTTTTGAGTATCTAATGTAGAAGTTATAACCAAGTTCATTTATGAAACGGTCTAAATGAATGATATACTGAACATATGTCCTCTTGATATATGTAACTCTTTGTAACTGACTGAATATATACCTTTTGTATTCTGATAACCCTCTCGATAAGATCTGTTAGGTTTACATGCATATTCTATGTATTAATAAATGTATCCTCGTGTATTAGTACCTATGTGTGCGTTGTTTGAGTTATATCGCATGGTTGGATTCTAAGGCCATCAAAAGAATCATTTTGTGATTTACTGCTACAATTTATAATTGTCCCAGTAAATGCCCAAACCCTACAGAACTGGTGCCTTCAGAGAGCACACTACAACTGGTTTCTCATGAGAGAATGTTATAGTCTGTGGAGCTCCCCATGCTTACTTGTACCAAAACCCGATGGAACTTATTGTTTTTGTACTGATTATCGTAAACTCAATGCATTGACAATTTAGATTCTGCTCGTTTCGTAAGCAAAGTTTAATTTATTAAAGGGGTACTGACAGGTTCCACTAACTCCCCACGCTTCTGAAAGTTCTGCAAATACTCTTGTTTTCCCTCATTTGTATTCGTAGCTAAGGTTGATGGGTACATTGTGCACATGTAGTTGATCTTTGTATTGGAAACACAAGTTTAGGATGGGTGAGTGCCTTTTGCCTTTTGTCTTGTATGGTTTTGGGTAGTCAATGAAGGTTAAGCTAGGGCGTTAGAAGACTTCCGAAGACTGAATATTTTGGGTTTTGTTTTGGTAGTTAGGTCAGCTTCTCCTCACTTTATTAGCCAGCTCCATTTTTGTTTGTTATTTTCGTTCCTTTGGCACCGCTCAAGTTCCTTTTCCCTGTGTCTTATTGTGTTCTGTATACGTACCAGTCACTTATTCACTTTTTAAAAATAAATCACTTTTGAACCAAACTTGTTATCACCAGAAACTTACCTGCATCCAAATCCATCCTAAATGTTACACCTCTTTACCCCTAGACAATTGGGGTTGTAACACCAGCATTGTGAAGTTAGGATTATAGAGCTCAATTTTAATATATTATTAAATTGACCTAAATTTTAAATGAATGTGAACATGAATGCTGTTCAGTATAGTGTAATTTTGTTATATTTTATATGTATTGTTGATCAAATTGAAAACAATCAAAAAGCAAATTTCTTTCCTTGAGCAGATCAACCAAAGTCTCTACCTTCAACATATTGTAATGCTATGGAGTTCATGTGGGCACCCTTGCCTCTGCCACCTCAGGCCGGCCCCACACTGTCAGGGACTCAAACTCGGGCCTCCGGCATTACTCAACAGGGACTCAGCCTCTTGAGCCAAAGGGAGATCTCCCCTCAGCCCAGCGGCAGCAGTCTTTGCTATACACAGGGAAGGGCAGTGACATCACCATGCTGGTTAACCAGCTCTCACAAGCAATGGAGGCCATATGCGTTACACTCTCCCCCGCTTAACTCACCATCCTCAGCAAAGGGCTATTCCATCCCACTCTGACACCAATGTAACACTTTGGGGTTCACATGGGTGCCCTCACTGCTGCCACATCAGGTCAGCCCCCCACCATCAGGGACTTGAACCCAGGTCTCTGGCATCACTCAATAGGGACACAGCCTCTTGAGCCAAAGGGAAATCTCCCCTCAGCTTGGCGGCTATGGTCCCTGCTATACACAGGGAAGGGCGGTGACGTCACCGCGCTGGTAAGCTGGCTATCACAAGCAATGGAGGCTGTATGCGTTACGATATTCACACCAGGGATTCAGACACACATAAACACATAAAGGAAATCTTCCCACATTATAATCTGTAACTGCAAGAGTGAACAAATTGTTAATTATCACAACAATAAGTTTCAGTC